CCAGACCAGCCAACTAAACCCCCAAGACCAGCCAAGTAAAGCCCCCAGCCCAGCCAAATAACCCCAGACCAGCCAACTGAACCCCCAGACCAGCCAAGTAACCCCAGTCCAGCCAACTGGACCCCCAGATTAGCCAATTAATCCCCACACAAGACAGGTAAACCCTGTTAGACCAGCCAACCAACCCCCCAAGACCAGCCAAGTAAAGCCCCCAGCCCAGCCAAGTAACTCCCAGACCAGACAACTTAAACCCCATAGATCAGCCAACTAACCTCCCCATACGAGACAATCCCCCCAAGACCAGACAACTAAACCTCCAGACCAGACAACGAAATTCCCCAAACCACAAAACTAAATCCCCTAGACAACTGAACACCCCCCTCCCCCGATCAGCTGACTGAACCTCCCAGACCAGTGAACTGGACCCCACTCGTTGAAATGATGTTTGGAATACACTGAATTAAATAAAACATATTAAAAGTAATCATACCCGTTGCTTTTTACCTTATTCATGGGACTGCTAGAAACGTTAAAATCTATTTCTACTGGATGGTGTGGCTCTAGATAGTATACCCTTGGGCAGAGTCCTGTCTTTATGATTCTTCAAGTCCTCTCCAGAACCCAGCACTCAATAAAACCTGTGGGCTGGATGCAGGATGCCTTGGTTTACCCCAGAGGAAGCTGAGGCCTAGAGAGACAAGGTCACTTGCCCCAAGGCAGGAACCACTGTGTAATCTGTGGGGCTCAGTGGAAAATGAACATGTGAGGCCCATTGTTCAATATGCATTAAGAGCATTAAACTGAGCATGGGGCCTGTGTAGCTGCAGAGGTCACATGCCCGTGAAGCTGGCCCTGCTCCAAGGTCAAATCGTTGGTAAGGGGCAGAGCTGGGATTTGAACCCAGGGAGACCTGCAGCTGGGGGCATGGTACAGGAGGGTCACCTGGAAACAGCTGGGTGGGTCTGAGTCCTTGGCCAGGCTGCAGGGCTAGAGCACAGAGGCAGAGGGCCTGGGTCCTGGCAGGTCCCTCCTCCTGGTGCCCTGGGCAGCATGTAGTGCTGAGGCCCCAGGGAGTGACAGTAATTGTATCCAGGGCTGAACGGTGCCCGCTCCAAAAGATACACCTAACCGGAACCTATGAGTGGGAATCTAACATTGTTGAAAACAGGGTCTTTGTGATTTTTTTTTTTTTTTTTTGAGACAGGGTCTGGCTCTGTCACCCAGGCTGGAGTGCAGTGGTGTGATCACGGCTCATTGCAGCCTTGACTTCCTGGGCTCAAGGGATCCTCCCACCTCAGCCTCCCAAGTGGCTGGGACTACAGGCATGCACGTCACCATTCCCCGATAATTTTTGTATTTTTTGTAGGGATGGGGTTTTGTGATGTTGCCCAGACTGGTCTTGAACTCCTGGGCTCAAGAGATCCTCCTGCCTCAGTTTCCCAAAATGTTGGGATTACAGGCATGAGCCACCGTGTAGCCCTGCAGATATAATTGAGTTAAGGATCTTGAGATGAGATTATCCTGGAATAGGGTGGGCCCTAAAGCAAATGACAGTTGTCCTTAAAAGAGAGGGGAAGACAGAAGAAGAAAGCCATGTGCCATGAGGCAGAGGCTGGAGCTAAGCGGCCACAAACCAAAGGATGGCTGGTGCCACCAGGAGCTTGGCAGGAAGGAGCCTCCCTAGATCTTCCAGAAGAAACGAGGCCCTGCTCACACCTGGATGTCACACCTCTGGCCTCCAGAACTGTGAGAGAATAAATTCCTGTTTTAAGCCACCTAGTTTGGGGTAATTTCTTACAGCAGCCCTAGGACAGTAAGATGCCATGTTACTGAGTTCCTGGTTGCTTCAAATGTCGAGTTACAATGTTTCTCTCCAGGCCGGGCGTGGTGGCTCGCTCACGCCTGTAATCCCAGCACTTTGGGAGGCCAAGGCAGGCGGATCACTTGAAGTCAGGAGTTGGAGACCAGCCTGGCCAACATGGTGAAACCCCGTCTCTACCAAAAATACAAAAATGAGCTGGGCGTGGTGGCAGGCATCTGTAATCCCAGCTACTCTGGAGGCTGAGGCAGGAGAATCGCTTGAACCCGGGAGGCAGGGGTTGCAGTGAGTTGAGATTGCACCATTGCACTCCAGCCTGGTGACACAGTGAGACTCTGTCTCAAAAAAAAAAAAAAAAAAAAAAAGAGTTCTGGCCCCCCTACTCCCCATTTCCCAGAGTCACCACCATGCTTGTGCGGGCCTCATCACCTTCAGAGACCCAGGCTGGGCAGGTGGGGGTGGGCAGGGGCCGGTAGCACCAAAGCCAGCCATGAAAAATGGATGGACAAGCCGTGCTTGGGGCAGGTGCCATTCCAGCACTCAGCAGCTCTAGGGCCGACAGGAAGGTGGTCCTTTTAAAAGCTCCCAGCTCCAGGAACCCTGAGCTGGCTGCCTGTGCTTTCACTCATGAGGGGCCGGGGGTGGGTGGTGTCGGAGTGCATTTCCCAGGCACTGTCAGGATCTGCAGAGTCTTGGTCTACCTTCCTGATCAAGCCCCGGCCTTGGGTTGGAAGAAAAGTGGTCCCAGAGACACCTCCAGGGGCCTGGTTTCTTTGTCAAAGATGTCCTGACACAGTCACCAAAAGGTGGAAACAACTCAGTGTCCATCATTGGAGAAGCAGATAAAGAAAACGTGGTCTGTCCACATGGTGGAGTAGTATTCAGCCGTGAAAAGGAATGAAGCAGTGACTCATGCCTCAATGTGGATGAGCCTAGAAAACGCCACGCTGAGCGACGGAGGCCAGACACAAAAGGACAAATGCTGGATGATTCCACGGACATGAGGTCCTTAGAGCAGATTCCTAGAGATGGGAAGTAGAATGGTGGCTGCCAAGGGCTGGGGGAGGGAACGGGGAGTTAGTGTTTAATGGGGACAGAGTTTCAGTTGGAGATGATGAAACCTTCATTCTGAAGATGGGTGGTGCGATGGTTGCACAACATTGTGAACGTGCTTAATGCCACTAACCTGTACACTTCATGGTTAAAACGGTAAGTTTTATGTGATACATATTATTTTTTAAAGAAAAGTGTCCTCAATGCCTACTTTGTGCCAGGAACTGGGAAACTCACGTCAAAGGGAAGAAAGTCCTCAAGTTTCAAGGGTTCAGGCTTGACCCTCTCAACCACTGTCTGCGGCTGGATCAACCTCAACTACTCACAGATACTCATTCGACAAACATCTGCCCGCTCCTCTGTGGGGTCAGGCTGGAGTCTCAGAGGAAGGCAGGCCCTGGAGGGGACGCGGGCTGTTTGTGTCTGTCTGGCATCCCATCCCGCTTGGCAAAGGACACCCCGATTTTCACCATGGGAACCAATCTCTCTGCAAGCGGTCTTGGAGGAGCTGTCAATCAAGATGCACTTCCCTCCACACCAAGGGGGCGGGCCTAAGACCTAAGCTGGGCCAGATGCTCTCCTGGAGTGGATTCCTCCCAGCCTGGGAACCTAAAAGGTGGTCCATTCATCCCGGCTCCCAGCAGGGACCTTTTCATTCCTCCTTACTTCACTCTTCCTGTGGGCTCCCCTTGGCTTTCCAGTAAATTCCTTGTCAACCAATATCCGCTTCTGTAGCTTGCATCCAAAAGCCCTAAACCTGCCTAAACCCAAAGGATGGGCTACAGAGCCTGGTGAATTTGACGAAGGAAATAATACAATTAATTAAGAGCAGCCACCGCCAGGGTGCGCCAGGCCCTGCTCTGGTGCTCCTGGTGACCTGAGACGGGTCCACCATGATCCCCATTTTACTGATAAGGAAACTGAGGCTCTTGATCTAGGTCTTACAGAGGCATTGGTGAGGCTACAACTCACACAATGCAGGCTGATCCCAGGCCTGGCTCAGTTCCTGACCACCTCTCCAGGTGCATAGGTGACCTCTGCCTGGAGGGGGCTGCTGGGGTCAGGCAGGTGGCCCTGGGGCAGGCTAGGAGCCCGGCCCTCAAACTACTGGCCATGGGACACCTGGAGCCAGAGTTGGTCTCAGGCAGCAGGGCCGCAAGTCAGAGCAGGCAGGCATGCTGGGTCTGGACCAGTGGCCGCCCACGTGACTCCCAGATTTTCGGCTGGGGAGACCAAAGCAACTGTCACCAAGGTAAAGAAGAGGGGGCAGCAATGGACTTGGGATGGGAGGTCTCCTCCCGCATTGGTCTGCCCCAGGACAGAAGACAGGACAGAAGTCTGGGCCACCTTCGCCAACACCCACAACACCCTTCAGTGGTTTTGTGTCCTTCTAGAACTTTCTCCTGCTGGCCTTCTCTCCCAGCACCTGGACGCTGGACCTCTTGTCTGGGTGATAACAGGCCCCAGGTGTGTCCTCGGGAAAAAAAACAGCCCAGCGTGTGCCTGGCTCCTTCGCAAAGGTCTCCTCCTCCCTCACTCTCCACAGCCTGGGATTAGGCCCCCTGAGGGGGAAACTGAGGCCCCAGGGCACTGCCACCTTCTCAGTCACTCACTGCTAGTGAAATGGAAGGGCCGGGCGCGGTGGCTCAAGCCTGTAGTGCCAGCACTTTGGGAGGCTGAGACGGGCGGATCACGAGGTCAGGAGATCAAGACCATCCTGGCTAACACGGTGAAACCCCGTTTCTACTAAAAAATACAAAAAACTAGCCAGGCGAGGTGGCGGGCGCCTGTAGTCCCAGCTACTCGGGAGGCTGAGGCAGGAGAATGGCGTGAACCCGGGAGGCGGAGCTTGCAGTGAGCTGAGATCCGGCCACTGCACTCCAGTCTGGGTGACAGAGCAAGACTCCGTCTCAAAAAAAAAAAAAAAAAAAAGAAATGGAAGGCCTTGGGGGGGTGCTCAGGGTCATGACAAGCATTTTTAGGGTACCTGCTGTGTACAGGACTGCTTTAAGGGATGGTGCCCCGCTCTCTCTGCAGGGCAGAGGGCTTCATCTCCCCTCCCTCCTGCCCCCCAGCCCAGCCCACCCCCTGCCATGAGAGCTGGTGGGGACGGAGGTGCAGGCCTTACCTTTCAGGCAGGACATCTTAAGCCCCATGCTGGCGCCTCTGCAGGCCTGTGGAAAGAGGAAGAGCGCTCAGAGGAGGGGCGGGCACAACTTGTTTGTGTTGGCCATGTGCGGCCAGGCCCCCACCCCGGCCCTGACGAGTGCAAAACAGGAGGTTGTGGTGGAGAGAAACCACCGGCCTCCAGGTCACGCCACCTGTCAACTACATCTGGGCTGGATTTGCTCAAAGAGGGAGTCTGTGCTAGTGGAAAAAACTTACGGGTGCCTCAAAGTTAAATATACAGGAAGCCAAGGCGGCGTCTGCAGCCCTGGCTCTGTGAGGTCACTTGAACCCAGGAGGTGGAGGCTGCAGTGAACTGATCATAGGGAACCGACATCGCCAAGCCTTTCCTTTCAAGAGCCACAGGACGGCTGCAGCTGCAGAGATGTGAAGACCTGCCAGCCAGGGCTCGGGGGTGGCCCAGAGGCCCCCATGGCAGTGCACCTCCCGTTCTTTTTTTTTTTTTTTTTGAGACGGAGTCTCACTCTGTCACCCAGGCTGGAGTGCAGTGGCCAGATCTCAGCTCACTGCAAGCTCCGCCTCCCGGGTTTACACCATTCTCCTGCCTCAGCCTCCCTAGTAGCTGGGACTACAGGTGCCCGCCACCTTGCCTGGCTAGTTTTTTGTATTTTTTAGTAGAGACGGGGTTTCACTGGGTTAGCCAGGATGGTCTCGATCTCCTGACCTCGTGATCCGCCCATCTTGGCCTCCCAAAGTGCTGGGATTACAGGCTTGAGCCACCGCGCCCGGCCGCACCTCCCATTCTAATGCTGCCATTTTTTTTTTTTTCCTAATGCAGGTTCTTTGGAGATCTGACAGCCTGAGCTATAGAGCCCGTGTGGCCCCCAGCCCACAGGGTATTAGAATTATCCCAACCAGTGTTCTCATGATGTTCCTGTGACATGAGGCATCCTCAGTTCTGAGCAATTGAAAAATAAAAGCAGCAGCCAGTGGTGCAGGGCCCCTGCGTGCTCTTGACACTCATTCCTCAGTAACAGCCCCGCAAGGTACTATTACTGTCACCACTTCACAGACACAAAAATCAGGGCTCAGAGTGGTGGTGGCACCTGCCTGAGGCTACTAGCTTGCTAGGGACTGTGGAGCTGACACTCGAACCCAGGACTGTCCTGATCCCCAGGCTGGAGCCCCACCCCACAGGGGCCTGTAGTGTGCAGAGGTCCAGAGGAAGATAAAGGCACAGTCCATGGGAGGAGCCCCAGGGGGTGGGAGGTCAGGCAGGAACAGGTGGGGAGAAACCAAAGATGGGTTGGACCTGGGGTTTTTGGGGCTGGTTTTGAGTTAAGAGCTTATTCTGAGGATTCCAAGGAGCAAGTCTGCTTTCTAGAAGGGTGTGTGGCTAGGGCCTGTGAGGAGACCCCAGGCCTGGCCCTCGTCTGCAAGCTGTTGGTGGACTGGTAGCATCAGCAACCCGGAGGCTGGGGAGCAAGGCAGCAGCTCAGGCCCACCCAGGGGCACAAGGTCCCACAGATTCCTGTGCCTCTGAGGTCAGAGATGCTTGCTCTGGGCCAGAAATCGGACAGGTGAATGTGAAGATGGCAGGTCAGGAAAGGTTTGGAGAAGGAGCTGGAAGTCCAGGTGGAGCTAGTAAGACATGGGTGGGAGATACCACCAGGACATAGAGTGAGGGCCTGGGGAAGACAGGGAGAGCGAGAGATACTGATGGAGCGGGCGTGGGCCAGCTGCGTATGAAAGGTGGCCATTCCAACTTAGCAGTGGTCTCTGGGGCTTCCCCACTGCACCAGCTGGGCCAGGTCCCAGCCATGTGACCACGGAGAGTTTATCTCAACACTTCACTTTCCTCATCTTTAAAATGGGATGAGGTGGCCAGGCACAGTGGCTCAAGCCTGTAATCCCAACATTTTGGGAGGCCAAGGCGAGTATATCAGGAGTTCAAGACCAGCCAGGCCAACATGGTGAAACCCCGTCTCTACTAAAAGTAAAAAAATGAGCCAGGCATGGTGGTGGGTGCCTGTAATACCGGCTACTCGGAGGCTGGGGCAGGAGAATCACTTGAACCCGTAGGTGGAGGTTGCAGTGAGCTGAGATTGCGCCACTGCACTGCAGCCTGGGCGACAGAGTGAGAATTCATCTTGAGAAAAAAAATTTTTTTTAAAAAGGGATGAGGCGGCCGGGCGCGGTGGCTCAAGCCTGTAATCCCAGCACTTTGGGAGCCGAGGCGGGCGGATCACGAGGTCAGGAGATCGAGACCATCCTGGCTAACACGGTGAAACCCGTTCTACTAAAAATACAAAAAACTAGCCGGGCGCAGTGGTGGGCGCCTGTAGTCCCAGCTACTCGGGAGGCTGAGGCAGGAGAATGGCGTAAACCCGGGAGGCGGAGCTTGCAGTGAGCTGAGATCTGGCCACTGCACTCCAGCCTGGGTGACAGAGCAAGACTCCGTCTCAAAAAAAAAAAAAAAAAAAAAGGATGAGGCACATAATGGTCTCATTGAGCAGCAGCGAGGACTGAGTGTCGGGAGGTGATCTGTGCTGGGAATAGAGGAAAAGTCCGAGCAATGTCAGCTGCTGCCGTCCCTTATGACAGCGAGGGAGGGAAAGGAGGTCGAGGTTTCCAGCTAGGCCTTTTCTCCAGGGCCTTGCTGTTCCCAGAATGGCCCATGGAACAGCAGCACAGGCTTCCCGGGAGCTGTGCCTGCAGAGTCTCAGGCCCTGAGCTGGCCCTGCCCACTCAGAACCTGCATCCACACTACAGCCAAGAAGAGCTGGGCCCTGCAGTGTCCGCACCTCGCCCAGGAGCTTTACAAAATACTGCTTCTTCCGGATTAGGTAACTCACAGCTGTCATCCCAGCACGTTGGGAGGCTGAGGCATGAGGATCGCTTGGGGCCAAGAGTTTAAGACTAACCTAGGCAACATAAGAAGACCCTGTCTCTATAAAACAAGCTTACAGCCAGGCGCAGTGGCTCACATCTGTAATCCTAGCACTTTGGGAGGCTAAGGTGGGCAGATCATCTGAGGTCAGGAGTTCGAGACCAGCCTGGCCAACATGGTGGAACCCCATCTCTACTAAAAATACAAAAAATTAGCTGGGTGTGGTGGTGGGTGCCTGTAATCCCAGCTGCTTGGGAGGCTTAGGTAGGAGAATCTCTTGAACCCGGGAGGTGGAGGTTGCAGTGAGCCAAGATCGTGCCATTGCACTCCAGCCTGGGCAATAAGAGCAAAACTCCATCTCAAAAACAAAAAACAAGCTTGTACAACCCGCAGCCTTCCAGCCGCCTGCAGCCCAGGACGGCTTTGAACGTGGCCTAACACAAATTCGTAAGCTTGCTTAAAACATTATGAATTTTTTTTGCGATTTTTTGTTTTTAAGCTCATCAGCTATCGTTAGTGTATTTTATGCGTGGCCCAAGACAATTCTTCTTCCAATGTGGCCCAGGGAAGCCAAAAGTTTGGACACCCTAGCTATAAAACATTTAAAAAAAAATTAGTCAAGCGTGGTGGCCTGTGCCTGTAGTCCAAGCTACTCAGGAGGCTGAGGCGGGAGGATCACTTGAGCTCAGGAGGTTGAGGCTGCAGTGAACCTTGAACTTGATTGTGCCACTTCACACCAGCCTGGGTGACAAAGCAAGAGCCTGTTTCTTAAACAAAAACAAAAACAAAAACAAAAACTGCAGCCTGAGTTCCACCCCCAGAGATTCCGGGGCAATTGGTCTGGTGTGTGGCTGGCACTGGGATTTCTTTTTTTTTTTGAGATGGAGCCTCACTCTGTCGCCCAGGCTGGAGTGCAGTGGCACAACCTTGGCTCACCGCACCCTCTACTTCCCAGGTTCAAGTGATTCTCCTGCTTCAGCCTCCTGAGTAGCTGGGACTACAGGGGTGCACCATGACACCCAGCTATTTTTTTTTTTTTTTGTATTTTTAGTGGAGATGGGGTTTCATCATGTTGGCCAGGCTGGTCTCGAACGCCTGACCTCAATTATCCACCCACCTCAGCCTCCCAAAGCGCTGGGATTTCAGGTATGAGCCACCGCGCCTGGCCTGGCACTGAGATTTTTAAATGCTCCCTGCAGGACTCTCACATGCAGGAGAGAGAATCCTTCCCTACGGGAGGAGTGAGGGGTAGCGAAGGAGTGGGGCTGGGGCTGAGGGACAGAAGGCCCAGGCCTGCGGGAGTGACAGACACATTTCCTGGCACTCACCATGGGCCCGACACTGTTCAGAGCCTTTTATGTATATTATACACACACATATACATATACATATACATATACATATACATATACATATACAGTGAATCCTCACAACAACCCCATGAAGTTGGGACCATTCCTGTCCCATTTCACAGGAAACATCTAACAGGAAACAGCACAGAGGAATTCGTTAACTTGCCTAAGGTCATCTGGGTAGCAAGTGACAGAGCAGGGATTTGAAGCCAGAACTTTGGACTGTGGAGCCTACGCCTTTAGTGACCAGGCAGACGTGGAAAGTCTTGGAGTCCCCAGGGGAAAGAGCTTCCAGGAACAGGGGAGGGTGGAGCAGACCTCATCTCCATCCCTTATCCATTCTGCCCATGCTGGCTCTCTTGCCGCCAGCCTTGCCAAGGGGTCCTGCAGCCCTGACGTCAGGGTCAACCACAAAGAAGCCAGAGGGAAAGCTGCACAGAGCCCCAGGGCCTCTGCTGGCCAGGCTTCCCAAACCTCCCTGGACTGCGGCTGCTGGGAAGATAGACTCAACATCCCAGCAAAGTGCAGACCGGCCCTGCACAACGTACTCGGATTCTATCAACTATTCCCTTTCATCCTGTCTTTGTTCAGCATTGATCGCAGCCCACCCGGCGGGTTTTGAAAACCAGTAATCTGTACGGAAGTCCTCACGGATGGAATGATGTCTGGAATTTGCTGTAAAAATACTCCAGTAAAACAACAAAATGCTGTGGGGCGCAGGGAGGCGCCACCGTGCGAGCAGCAGGATGTTGTTTACTGTTGAGACTGGGAGACAGGAGAGCATGACATCCTGGTGTGTTTGTTT